GTTGAAGCATAGTTAATTAATTCACAATATATATATATTGGTAGAATTCAATGTTTTGTGCTCGAATTCAATATAAGTAATTGCACATAAAAGAGCTCTCGATTTGTGCCGCACGTGTGAACTTCAGAAAAAAGTCCACGTACCAAGTTGGTGAAAATGAACTGTCACTAGTAGAAAATTCAGGCTGCTCGAAATAAAAATCTGGGAGTGAGCAAATGGTCAAAACAAGTCCAAATTAGGTGGTCAGCAGAATTCTACGTTGGAGGAGGAAATAAGGCCCCGTTCATTTCGCTAATTCGAGTTTAGAATTCGAGTTGAGATGTGATTTTATATGAGAGTTTTTTACTGTAAAAAGAATACCTCATATAGGACCCAGCTTGTCCCTCCCTAATCTTGTTTTATTTTGTTCTCTAAAATATTATATTTTCCTAGAAAAAAAAATATTACAATTACTACTTACTAAATTTTATTGATTCTTCAACCAATAATACATTGCCCTACAATTATAATATGTAAATGCAAAGCATGATGTTGAATAATGTCTTTTTTTTTTTTTTTTGGGTAGACGTTGAATAATGTCAGTTGACTCTATCACATTGTCCCTAAGGGGGGGAAAAAAAACCAAGTTTAACCCTCTGGTTAGAGAGGGAGAAAGAGAGAAATACACAATATGCTAAGTAAATTTTAGAATGGTGCACTGAGTACACGAGAATTTTCGTAGTTCAACAAAATATAGATACCTCTTTTGCTAATGATGCGTTACTTTTTAGCGTCAAAATTTTTTTGAATTCCGTTTATTTAGTTTTTGTTTGCTTTTATATAATTTTAATGAGGTCCGAAACTTTAAAATTATAACATATTAATTGAATAATATGCTATCCTAAAATTCTCCTTAGATATCAATATGAGTCTTCAATTTCAAAATCTCCCTGATTGTATCAAAGTCTTCAATCTTTTTGACTGATCAATTAAAATTATACAACATTGCTCGCGCTTTTTTGCAGTTGTAGACTGTATGTCAAGACGGGTTATGATTTAGTTTAAACAAAATTTCTCATTAAAGAAAAAAGAGAAATGATTGTATCAAATTTTTTGTTATAATTCACTGACCTTTAGTTGAGAGAATGCTAGTCTTAACGAAATCGAGATCATGCATAAAATAATTTGCAAGAACGTGACACATATAAACGTCTTTTCACTTGTAGTTGACGTGCATCGATTGGAGACCTAACATTTGCTAACAGAATTGGACCTATCAATATAATTCAAGTTGGTTAACCTTTTTTTAACAAAATTTGGACCTAACGATATAATTCAAGTTAGTTAGGTCTTGATGATGTCAATGTCAATATCACGTACGATTAATGCATGTATCATGTATGTAACTATGTGGAATTGAAAACAATGAGCGATACTTATATACATTATACATATACCTTCTCGTATTGATTTTTTCGCTAATTATTATTATTTTTGAGATATTAAAAGGTATCATTTGAATTTATTTACATGCCATGTCTCCTGCACTTTGTGAATGAAAAAAAAAAAAGGAAAAGATAAAGATACCCTTATTTAAATTGAATTGAATTTTTTAAATTTTTTTTTCTTGAGAAAAATTTTTGAAAAATATTTTAATTTAAAGCTATAAGATTCAAGTATTTTTTTGAAAATTTTATATTTTACTTTTTTGTTTCTTAAATATCTGAATATTATTTTGGATTTTTTTTCTTGTTGCTCTAATTTTTTTTTCATGCGTAGAGTGTGTGGGTTGAAATTGAAACAAATTTTTTAATTGAAAGAATACTTTATAGTTTTTAAAAATAGAAAGATAAATTAAAAAATTTACAATTATAATTAGCACAAAACAATTAAATTCCTTTTCTTCAAGAAAACAGAAAGAAAAAGGTAAAAGAAGAAGACCTCTAGAGGGAAAGAAAAAGGAAAAAGCAAAATAATGTCTTTTGACATTTCATCGGCCTATAAAGTTCGACTACACAAAATCTGGTACTCTCCCTATGCGTTTAACACGTGCACGCTCTCAGTCACAGAAGTCTTCCAACAGTTGGAATTGGGGCCACAATGCGTATATTACCAAAATACCCTCACATGAATATTTAATTGTTAACTCCAAAGCAAGCGAGTAGCCTGTTTAACGTACATCAGAGAACACGGTAACAGAGAGAGCAGAAAGCACAGCCAGCGAACCCGTTCTTTTCGCTGATTTGAGTTTAAAATTTGAGTTTTGATACAGTAAAAAACTCATAAAAATAGTCACATATAATTTTTTTACTACAATAAAAAACTCTCAGACAACATCACATTTCAACTCGAATTATCACACAAATATGACAAATTCACACTCATCATATACCAACTAGAAAAACATACATGGTACAATCATACATGATATAAGTTCTACATAAGAAACGGATTATATTATACATCATAAAAAATGAGAAACTATTTGAAAACAAAAGGAAAATATAAGGCTCTGTTTATTTCACCGATTCGAGTTTAAAATTTATGTTTTACAACAGTAAAAAACTCTAAAAAAACAGTCACATTTAACTCTTTAACATATTCAATAATGAGAATTTTTCTAGTAAAGTTCGAAAATATATAGTAGCACCCATGTATGTATTGTTAGATCATATAAGATATGTAATATCCAAGTTAGAAATTTTTTGGCAGTATGGACGTGATATGAAGAATATAAAAGAAAATTAATTTTGTATTAAACGAGGAATGAGGACATAAATTTTTATTATTAGGCGAGGAACAATTGAAACTTTTTTTACAGAAAAAATATAGAAAAAAGTTGTGCGTAAGAATTAAAAATCGTGAAACCTGAGTAGGAGGCTAGGAGCAAGTGTCCCCATTTATGTACATGTAGGTGTAGCTCCATTGCTAATAAGAACAAAATAAATATGCAAATTTAAGGAGAATTAATGGCGATCAAAAATTCGGAATTACACACTATTCATAGAATGTACTTTTTAAAATATTTGCATCACCACCCCTTAAATTTGTCACTCATTTGCAAGGTGCCATTCGAGCGTTTTAATTGGTTATCAGCCCATCGAATTTAGTTATATATGTAAAAACATTGCAATTGGTACTGATGTTAATTATTTAATAAAAATTGACACGTGTCATGCACATAGATTGTTAATTAATTAGACGAGTGACCATTTTGGATTTTTTTTAATCAAAATATGTTGAGATTAAAGCTTTTAATTAATTTTTCGTGATACAATATTTTGAATTAAGATAAATATGACCACTCATGCAGTGAATTAACACTCTATGTACATAAAATTTCTGGTAAAAAGTATAGCGGTTAACACAGTTATGCGGGGTGTGTTTTACGTCATATTCCTTGGTTCAAAGGAATAATTGCCAAAAAAAATTGAGACAGCATGTGTATATATTTTTTTGGTTGAAAAATGAGGAGCCACATTGCCAATGAGCAACAAGTTCATCATGCAATAGTGCAAAAGGCTTAATTTTTCTGAGAAATTTTAAGAAATGTTGTAAATGTAAAATTTTAAAAAATTCATGTATAAATTTACGTTATTGTTATTAAAATTTCATATTTATATCACATAAATAAACGGCTCAAAATCAACCAAATATAACATAAATCTATAAATAACACAAACTTAAAGGGCGGAAGCCGTAGGCTCAAAAACAAAGGAGTTATTCTTTTGTATTTTTAAGTTAGGGTGACTTGAGTAATGATCTTAAGTTGAGTTTGAGTTATAACTTGAGTTGAAATTGTAACTTGAGTTTGTGTTTTGATGTGTACATTTGAGTTATGATTTGAATTGAGAATCTTTTTGAGTTTGTGTTTAGGTAGATCAAAACTTAAATTTGTATTTAGATAGTATTTTAACAAAAACTCAATGGTGATAAAAAATTTTAATAGGGTATATAGGTTGTGAATGCATAGAAAAAAATTATTTCAATCAGAATTAAAATGAAAAAGTTATGACATTTTTAAAAATAAAAAAATATTGTTCATTAACTTGAGTTCGAGTTGAAGGAGAAACTTGAACTCGAGTTTAGCCCCAAACTCGAGTTTAAACTCAAATTTTACAAAAGAACATGAACTTGAATAAAGTTGTAACTCGAGTTCAAATTTTTTCTGAATTTTGTTGCAAAAGAACAACCCCTAAGATTTCGTTCACTTTACTGATTTGAGTTTTATTATAATAAAAAAGCTTTTAGAAGCAATCACATCTAATATTTTTGCTATAGTAAAAAGCTCTCACATAAAGTCACATCTCAACTCGAATTAAAAACTCGAATTAACGAATTAAACATGCCTAAAATTGAATTACCACTAAATTAAGCATGCAATCAACCTCCTATTTCTCCTAAAACAAACAAAATGCGCTCTTTTTTTCACAATCTAAAATCTCATTTATTTTACCGATTTGAGTTTAAAATTTAAGTTTTACTACAGTAAAAAGCTCTCAGAAACAATCACATCTAACTTTTTTACTACAATAAAAGTTCTCATATAAAGTCACATCTCAACTCAAATTAAAAACTCAAATCAACAAACTAAACGGGTCCTAAACCTTTTATTATCTTCTTTTGAGTAAAAAAACGCACAAACATTATTTTATTTCAATACAATTAACTCAAGCCCCCCAAAAGGGAAAAGAAGACAAACTCAATACATGAACTGTCATCCAAACATGTTGGTGAAAATTGGTAATTGATCTGATTTTGTTCTTCATCAAAACCATTTTTTTATCCTATTTGTGATATCTTAATTTTAATTTTTACATACCACTTAAAGCCCTTTTTTTTTAAGAAAAGAAAAAGAGAGAAAAAAGAACTGCAATAGTGTGATAATTGCGAATTGGTAAAAGCCCCCTTCCACATTGACCCAAACAAAATCAGTCTCCATCATCAACTCCCTCTCTCCAATCCAACCCCAATATAGTAAAATCACTTTACACCCCCTTCCTCTCTCTCCTCCCCTTTTTTTTTAATGCCCTATTATACTGTTTCTCTCTCTAGAATCACACACACACTTTTACACTTTCCCTCTCCTGCCCCCATTCCTCTTCAGTCAGTTACCACCACCACCACCACCACACCAAACTCACTCTCTCTTCAAAAACCGTTTCCTCTCCCAAACCACTCTCTCTCTCTCTCTCTCTCTCTCTCCCTCCATGAAGAACTCACACACTTCACACTCCCCTCGCCTCCCACCACTCCACAACGCTATTTAGCCCTCACACTCACCAAAACAAAACGAAAAAGACACAACAATCTCCATTTTCAGTTTCATTTTGGTGTTACACTTCTTTGTCATTTAATTCTAATGGAGAAGAAACAAGGCTTCTTCTCTGCTCTGAAAGACGAGGTGGTGCGCGGCCTCTCGCCGTCGCGGTCTAGAGGGAGCAGCCCGGCGAGGGCGAGGGGGAGGTCGGCGTCGCCCATCTCGGGGCTTCTCCGGCGGAAGAAGAGCGGCCACAGCCTCGCGGCGCCGCCGGAGGCACTGATCGCGAGATCCGGCAGCCTCAGGCCGCTGGGGGAAGCGCTGGCGCCGCTCATGGAGGGCCCGGATCCGGACGGCGGAGACGTCGGTGATTCGAAGCGGGTCGGGTCAGGGCTGGGGCAGTGGATGAGAGGACAGCTCTCTAGGGCTCCGTCCATGGCGTATAGGAGGTCTGATCTTAGGCTGTTGTTGGGGGTCATGGGAGCTTCTCTCGCTCCTGTCCATGTTAGCTCCAATGACCCTTTGCCTCATCTTAGCATCAAGGACACTCCTATTGTGAGACTCTCTCTCTCTCTCTCTCTCTCTCTCTCTCTCTCTCTATGTCTTCTTTACTTCTCTGTGGACTTGTTTTGTTTTGTTTTTTGTTTTTTTGGCTACTATGACTGTTGACCGGGAGGGAAAAGTGAATAGTTATAATTCAAGATTTTGTTATGGAGTAAAGTTTGTTGAAGTATCGATATGCATTTCCTTTTTATGTTTGCGTAAATTTGAAGAGAGTCATGGGATATTTTGGCTACGTTTTTTTTTTTTTTTGGATTTTCAGTGTTCGGTTGTTCTTTCTGAGATTATGCACTTACATCTTCATTTTTGTTGGGATGAATAATGAATTAGTACCCAGGGCCTTTCTTTTTTTTTTTTTAATGGTAAAATCACGCTGTAGTTTGGTTGGTAAGAAAACACAGAAGGACAGGATTTTTTAATCAGGGGTTTTCTTGGTGTGAGTTGAGCTCAAAAGGCCATATGGGTCCAAGTCCAACTAGGTTTAATATTTATTCTGAGGTTTTAAATGCTGAGAAAAGTTTGGTGTTAGTTTTTACTTGCTTTCCGACGTTTTCTTAGCAAACAAACAGATCACGAGGACTTTTACTTAACTAAGAAGGAAAACTACTCTAGCTTGCCTTGTTAGAATAAGAAATTGGTATTTATGGTTGTGCAATGACTTAATTTCACTTCATTTGATTACTTTCGTGTTTTCTCCGTCTTCTTGTGACTAGAAATAATCATCTTAAAAAAAGAATTACTGAATAATCGTGGGTGTTATTCTTGTAGGAAACTTCATCTGCTCAGTACATCTTGCAGCAATATACAGCAGCTTCTGGTGGGCAGAAGCTGCAGAACTCGATACGAAATGCATATGCGATGGGAAAGCTTAGGATGGTAGCTTCCGAATTTGAGACTGCCACAAAGGTGATGAAGAACAGGAACGCCTCGCGATGTGCCGAGTCTGGTGGCTTTGTGCTCTGGCAGATGAATCCAGACATGTGGTATGTCGAGCTTGCTGTTGGGGGTAGTAAAGTTCATGCAGGATGCAATGGTAAACTTGTTTGGAGGCATACACCCTGGCTCGGTGCCCACACTGCCAAAGGACCCGTGAGACCCTTGCGGCGCGCACTTCAGGTTGTTATCTTTCTTGTGCTCAAATCAGGTTTCTCTGACTGGTTTTATAGTTTATAGTGTTTGCTTATTGGATTTGGGTGGGTTGAAAATTGCAGGGTCTTGATCCAAGAACAACAGCTAGTATGTTTTCCGATGCAAGATGCATAGGAGAGAAGAAGATCAACGGTGAGGATTGCTTCATCCTTAAGCTCTGTGCTGATCCCCAAACTTTGAAGGCGAGAAGTGAAGGCCCTGCTGAAATCATAAGGCACGTCTTGTTTGGCTACTTCAGCCAGAAGACAGGACTTCTTGTGCACATAGAGGATTCCCATTTGACTCGTATCCAGTCCAATGGCGGTGATGCAGTTTACTGGGAAACCACTATTAATTCGTTCCTTGAGGATTACAGGCCTGTTGAAGGGATCATGATTGCCCACTCGGGGCGTTCTGTGGTAAATCTTTTCAGGTTCGGTGAGATGGCAATGAGCCATACCAAAACAAAGATGGAAGAAGCATGGACAATTGAAGAAGTCGCGTTCAATGTTCCAGGCCTGTCTATGGACTGCTTCATTCCTCCGGCTGACTTAAGATCAGGGGTGATTGACGAAACCTGTGAGCTGCCGCAGGATGAAAGAGGAAAGGGTGCCGTTTCAATAGCATCACATCGAGCCAAAGTCGTCGCACTGGAGAAAGCACATGACGGTAATATGGATAACTTGATTTGGAAGATGGAAGTTTAACAGATGGTAGGATCCTTGGAATAGGGCAATTGTTTATACTAGTAGAAAGTTTTAGTCAACTTACACTTTAGGAGTTGTGAAGTAGGAGGTCAGTCAGAATTTTTCTTGACGTTGGTTATGCCTCTATTAATCTGTAAATAGAGCATAATTGTTCACAGGTTTAAACCCAAAGCCTGGATGAATCCTTATACTCTCGATGCAGAATCAACAACGGAGTTGGAGCTCGGTTTTCCAGTTAGGGATTAGAGCAAATGGAGGTTTAGTTTCTAGTTTTCCTTCCGCGAACAATGGAAGGTGGTGGAGTTCTTCTGGTATAATATCAACCTTTTCTTTAACCTTACATAGTTTCCACTAATTCTCTTGACTGTATTCCGGAATGGCAGTAAAAGGAGACTGCCACTGGCCAGCTTGAGTTTTTTTGAAGCTAAAATGTTTTCTTAATTTACCGTGTTTTTGGGTGTGCTAATCTTGTTTATGGTTTGTTTGGTTGATGTAAAACTTTCTTCTGGGTCTGAGGAAATGGGGCAACAAAAAAAAAAAAAAGGGGATTGTTTTCTAGGTCTACTGAGGAGGACAGGGTAAAAGGATGAACTTTTTTTTTTCTTTTCTTTTTAACTATTGTAACCAACACATTAGGCGACATGGGGGTCGCTGGTTGTATCATGGCCTTGTCAGTGCTTCTGATGAAAATATGTAAACAAGAAAAATATTGTGTCTATTACATATTAAATGCTCATGAATATGATGATGATGATGATGATGATGAATCAACATCTTTCTCTTAGCTTCTTTTCTTGAATGTCTCTCTGTAAACTGTACAGTTTTATTTACACCTTTGTGTTTAATATTTTAGATGTTTTCTGCACAAAATCTCACAGTGAATCCAACTCTTTTTTTTTTTAGCTCTTCATCTTTCTAATGAAAAGCACCATTCCAACATTTATTCTGAGTTAGTGGGGGGGTCATTTATGAGTTTGCAATTGTGTTAATGAATGCTAAAATTATTGCATATCCATCCCTATATATTTTTCCATGGTGCTTTACAGCATCTATTGCTGGTGTTTGAAAGTTCAGTGACAATGGCCAGTGGGTGACTTTTTGGGGTCCCCTTTTTATTTTTTCTTTTTCTCACCCTGCCCCCCAGGTGGGATAGAGAACCCTTCTTGATGGGGTCACTCAAAACTTTATTAAGGCATCTACCTTAAGCCCACTTTTTGACCGTTTCGACGCAAGATTAAACTAATACATGGTTAGGTTATAAGTGGGGTTTGCTTCGTTTTTGACGATTATTATTCTTATTCGTTAAAAACATGATTAGTGATTACAGCAAAGCACAAGGGCGAAATTGAAAAAAAAACAAAACAAAACCAAAAAAAAAAAGTCCTACTTCCAAGTCCCCACCCCACGTGATAACCTCAGCTCTTCTTTTTTCCTTTGTTTCCCACAGGCCGCAGCTGCTTTGTTCCCGAGTAGTCAAAGTCCAAATTGATGAGAACCCTATATTTAGTTTTCATCATTTATTTATTTTTCATCATTTATTTATTTTCATCATTTGTTTATTTTATCATTATTCTGTTCTCTGTTTTGTTTTTTTCGTTGGCATGGGATTGGGGAAGAGAGGAAACTTGCGATATGGTTCCTTTACAGTTTACACGATGGTGGCAATATTAATAAGGGGGTATTGGTATATTTATGGTTGATGCGAAGTTCCAAGCACTGAATAAATGAAAGAAACCAACCATACGGGACAAGGCAATATATATATATATATTATATTATATTATATTATATTATATTATATTGCCCCTCAGTACAATCTAAGATTTTAACTTGTTGTGTGTTCTATTTGTTTTTTTAATTTTTATCTCATCACTCATCATTCATGGGTCAGCATAGCAATATGGTCGTCGTGCAATTCTTGGTTGTGAATGATGTGAATAAATCAGAAGTGGTCCTGGAGTGAGTGACACCAGAATTGCACACCGATTCTTTACTCATTCTACTCCATTTGAGAGAATGGATTTGGTCAAGTTGTACGATAAAATTCTAGTTTGATCTAGTACCATTAGAGCAGTAATACCAAGCACTAGTATTCTTTGATTGACTCTTAAATTTCAATGTAAAATCAACATTTACCCTTTTTTCTAAGTTGATCTATTTTAATAAAAGGACAGTTATGATTAAAAAGATCAATAATAGAAATGTGATTATTATAAAAAAGGTAGTTTTGCACTTGTTTTCTTTGGTTTATTTACCTTTTCTTATTATGTATTTTAAGTTTATTTAGGAAGTGTAATTTCGAGTTTTTTATCTCACCAAATATATATCTTCATATAACATTTAATACATAAATTCATATCTTGACCTGGTCAATACTCGATTTTAATCTTTAAAATACCCTTAAATACATGGAAGGAAAAAAAAAAAAAACTTCAAAGAAATATAAAAAAAAAAAAAATCTTTAAAAGTTAGTTTTTTCCTTTTCTTTTTTTATTCTTTTTAAGTAATTTTTATTTTTTTCTATAGAAGGGTATTTTTGGTCAAAATTGTGTGTTCAGTAAAAGAGTATTGATTTTTGTATTCAACGTAATCTAAAAGTATGTATTTGATAAGATCAAAATTTCATGGTATACTTTTTTGGTAAACTAAAAATACATGGTATACTTTTTTTTGTCGCCTAAATTCCGGTGTCACAAAAGTAAACAGTCTTATGCCTACTGTTTTCTCTAAACAAAATTGCAAACTACAAATATTACACATTTTTAAAAAGAATTATGTCGGAATAAAATAGTGAACAAAATAACATGTAAATATGATCTTTTTTTTTTTTGCGCTTTTGGCCCTCAACTTTGATTGAATTGGTAAGTTTCCCTAATGAACTTTTAATTGTGATAAAGTGCCTCTTAATTTGATATAATGTTTCAATGTGCTCTTAAATTGAGGAATGATGTTAAAATTTGAAATGAAATGCCCTTGTGCACGTAATCAGTTTCTTCCTTCATATGAATTCATGTAATGTGTACGAGAGTGTTTCTATCTAAATTTTAAGAGTTGCCATCTATCTCTACAATAATGTACTTAATTAGAGACAATTCTATGAAATTAAAAATTTGTGAGAACTTATGTACTAAGTACACTTTAAAAAAAGATTAATTACATGTATTATCCTTTAAATTGAATGACAAATGACATGTTGTTTTCAATCTTTAGATTGCGATCAACTGACGAAACAGGCAATTATGCTTTGTCATTATCTCGTGTTACGTACCAAACAGCCTAAAATATTTGCTCAAATATTTTGGTAGCTGGTAGTATAGAAATAGAAATCGTCTCCACCAAAATATGTTTCTGGTGGCCACCCAATACTTAAGCCATCATAATCTTAATTGTTTCTCGTCTCTCCTTTATAACATTAATACCTTCATATCACAATAAAATCCTGAACAATTATACGTCGCAGTTAAGATGTTTGCTTAATTATAAAAAATAAAAATAAAAAAAAATAAAAAAGTAATTGATGTAAGCCTTTTAACTAAGGTAGTTGTTCCGCTAAATTATAAAATAAATAAAAATTTTAAAAAAAAATCTCAGTTAGTTGTGGCGTCCTCTAGTATTCATTTTCCCAAATGCTAGCTACCTTGAGGATCCAAATTGTTAATTTTCGGGAAAACGAAAATAGTTGGTGGCCTCTGATGGTGCAAAGAAATAGTAGCATGTGAATAGCTTTTTCTTCTAACTACTTATTTGATAAAGGGTAACACATAGTATCCCATATCTTGGTCAATCATTAACTTTAATGTCATTTTATCTATTTTACCGTCAAGTTAAATTTCGGAACGTTACAATAAGAATTTGGAAGCATCGATTGATTTGCTCTGTTGATTTTTTTTTTCCTTAAAAAAAAAAAGAAAAAAAAAACCAATCACGTGGTAGAATATAATAAGTCGACAACATGATCGTGAAATGACAGACGTCTAATTCAGTCCCATAATAATAGAGTTGCATTTTCAGAATTGTATTCAATAAGAGAAAAAGTTGCTAGCTACTTATAATACATAGTATCCTCTCTAAGTTTTAATTATTTATAAGACAAGTCGTCTGTTAATTGTATTACAATTTGATTGTTTAAATTGAACTAGATATCACAATGTCTCCTGAAAACATGGTCGGGCAAAAATTAGATAGCAAAAAGATATTTAATCCCTTGATTAGTAACCGAAACATTAAAACAAGCACGTTTCATGAAAAGGCCACGTCCTTATAACTAACTAATACCAAATAAGGTTGGATTGAAGCTTAAAATGATGTTACTCTAGCATATCTTAAATTACAAATTTTTTCAAACTATCACATGATAACTTCATTTCAAGCGAACACATAAAAACACCATTATTGAAAAAACAATGATTAAATTTGTTAGAGGATTAAGTTGTGGTGTTTGGATAAAAATTAAGACATTTATTGTTTAGACAAGGGTTATACACTCTAACTTAAATTTAATGTTATGTTTCTCTTTTTAAAAAATATTTTTAGTGGGATTTACCCCATTTTGCAACATTATCTCAAATCCACAGGATTGAATTGTAATATTTAAAAATGAAAGGTTGATCGTTTGAATAATTGAAATTTTAGGAGTTAATTTAAAGAACTAAACATGCCCAATTTTTTTTTTCTTTTCAAACTTGTAAACACGGGGATTTTATAATATTTTGTTTTAGGGGGATTTTTAATATAAGTTAACTGTTAACCCTAATTCTTTAAACGGCTAGAATTTTAGAAAACTGAAAAAAGTTCATAGGGCCTATATACTTAAATGATATTAAATCAAAATTCAAAGTTCTTCCCATTGATTCTCACGCTAATCTAATATGTATATATTTTTAATTTTTTATCCATGTTGGGACCATGACTTACAAAAATTTGCATTCAGTGTCGGCTCGGATTATAGAACATCGATAGAGATGTCCAAATCTTGGAATAAATTCATTCACACGGACAGATCCAACAGCAAAGCGTAAAACATAAAAATAAATAATTTAATTAAGCATAAAACATAAAATAATAAATAAATTAAGCATAAAACATAAAATATAAAAAGCTTAAGTTGGGATTCAGCTGTCTGGGAAGTAGGGTTCTATTGAGTTTGGTGAAACTTAGGACTATAGAATTTGATATCTTAATGATTTAGTGTATCCCTCCATGTTTTTTTTAGTGGGGAATAGAATCTTTTAAGGATTGTAATCACTGATTTTTTAGCTTAATGTCATCTTCCTTGTTATTTCCTCGGATGAGAAATTGACAAGTTTTCTTACTAGAATTGACTTGGAATAGAAACATAAAATAAATGAAGTTCCAGTTGCGCGCTGCTGACCTGTTGATCTCAAGAAATACAATTACATAATATTCTTTTGGGACAGGATTTGAAAATATAGTTTGAAATCTAGTATATCTATCGCATGTAAAGTAAGAACATCGAGAAAACAATCAAACTAGTGGATAGCTACTATTAATGAGTTGGTGCAACGATAAAAATATATTTCTGTATTTTCTGCAACAGTCTTAATATAAAAATGTTTTGTCTGGCTATTTAGATGTGCATCGTTGGTGTTTCTAGCATAAAAAAATTAACAACTCATGAATCAATATTAAAAATTAGAATTATATTTATTGTTTCTAGCATTATTCGGTTACAATTATAAGAGATGTGAAAACAAGCCGAGGGACTATTTGTTTTGAAAATTTGATTGGAGTAATTAAACATTGTTGTTGAAGAAAATGAAACGAGCCCTTCTCGTATGAGCAATGATATTTCTTGCAAATGCAATAAAAAGTACTCACTAGATCTTGTTTTTAATTTGTTTTATGCCAAATTATTGACTGGATTATTTTGTCAAGTCAAGGATAATTGCCAATTGATGATCATTAAAGTTAACTAAAAGCTCTTAAATAGTGTTAGAGTGCATGTGAATGTCACATCTAACTTTTTCTGTTACAGTGAAAAACTCTCAGAAAATATCACATCTCAGCTCGAATTGAAAACTCGAATCCGCAAAGTGAACGAGGAATGACACAAGACTACCTTTACTCCACAACTTTCTTTTCTTACAATATAATATGAAAATCAAAATTTTCCCCCAATTTGCTTACGTGGAATTGAATATTATATTTCACTGTACTTGACATTTGTAGAAGAACTTTTCTTCTCTAACACTATGCATGGACATGGTAACGACAAGGAGCTAAGTTCTGAATTCAAATGGTCAATTGCTTACCTAATCCTTCTCAACATTCAAAAGCAAACTTTTTTTTTTTTTTCAGAAAAAAAAGAGCAAGAACGATTATTAAAGAAATATTCCACGAGTAACACATGGTGGGGAACGACATCAATGGCCAATTCCTCTTCTCAGACTTTGCTACACAATTTTTTTAAGCCAATGCCTTAAGCCAATTAAAGTCAATAAAGACAAATAATAAGAGTAAAAGTAACATTTTAATTAATAATAGTAGCCACCATACTTTAATAAGTATAGATTATAATCGAATTAAAGTCAACTGAAGACGGCCCACAATAAGTTAACATAAGCCAAGTTTATGAATAAACGGACCGCCACTTTCCGCTATTTTTCTTTCTTTTTTTTGGAAAAAAAAAAATTGGTTTCCCTATTTTATTATGAAGCCCTTTATAATATGGGGAAAACTAATCAAGTTATTATGAAAGGAATTAAAGAAAAGAGAAAAAAAAAAGTAGTGGTATTGTCTAATTATTAACTTACTAAGGACCCGTTTAGTTCGCTGATTCGAGTTTTTAATTCGAGTTGAGATGTGACTTTATGTGAGAGCTTTTTACTGTAGCAAAAAAGTTAGATGTGATTGTTTGTGAGAGCTTTTTACTGTAGAAAAACTCAAATTCTAAACTCGAATCAGCAAAATGAACGGGGCCTAAAGCTTCACCATTTTTTCCCTAACGGTGGAATCTTGACTCTTAGAGGCTTTTTTTTTTTCCTTCTTCTTTTTGGCCCTTAAATAAGGAATCTTGAGAATTGATATATACAATAAACATATGCCTACAGTACATAAAGAAGAATATATTGACTTTTCTACTCTCAACATTTATAACGGGCTTAGTATAATACTTAATGCTATGGCAGTATTTTAGGGTATGTCCTTAATTTGGTTGACAAGTTGAGCATTTCAAAAAAATTGTATATATGATAAGACTAAGAAATTATAAGTTAGAAAACAAATATAATGATCCAAGAGAGTGTCGGCAAAGGGAAGCTTCCACTTCTCATGGAAAAGGATTGATCATATTTATGACTCTACCGCACGGCCCTATACCAATAGATGCATATTGAATATGCTGTACAAGTGTTCCCACACTCTTTCTTGTCACCATTATTATTAATTATTATAGCTATTATGTATTAATGAATAATATGTGACTGTAAATGATAAATTATTCTGCTCTTGCAACACATGTTTTTTCACCTACGAGCAAAATTAATCAGCAGCAAAGTTAGGGAAAACTTTTCCCTCGGAACCTTATTGATACTTGATAGGAACGAGATAATTTAATTTGTCTTTTCCTTGTGTTTGTTTTGCTAACCAATGGCGCATCACCAATGGTAATAAAAAAGCCAAGAAATAAATAGAGAAGATTTCAAGTTTTGCTATTGTTTTTTTTTTTTTTTTTATTAATGCCACGACACAAATTTTTAATGTTATTACGAAAAATAATCTGCAGATTATGAAAAAATAACAAATAAATTATGAAAAATAACCTGTAAATTACGAAAAATAACATATGAAAAGATAACTCACAGATTATTAGTAGTATAATATAAATTTATAACAATGACATAAATAAAATAGTGTTATTTTAATAATGACTTTTTTGGTTTTCTCTTAAATAATTAAGCCAACTACCTACTAATAGCTTAAATTTAGAGGCGGGATGGTAAGATAATATAATAGTAAAACGTGAAATCATAAGTAGAAATTTTGCAATTACACTCTAAAATTGTAATTTCGTTTGCGACTGCCGAATCTAATATATTCTTATAACTAATATTCACTTGTTGGACTCATATAAAGGAGATGTGTTGGAATAAAACAACTAATATTAACACCATCCAAAGCTCTCGGAAAATAAAAAGAGTCAAATAAATAAGAGTTTCACACTAGAAGTTTCGTCAGAATATCTTGTTTTTAACACACATTAAGGAGACGGGGAGACAAAAAGAAAGGAAGAAAAAAAGTGTGTGTTTCGCTGATTTAAGTTTTTAATTAGAGTAGAAATGTGACTTTATGTGAGAACATTTAACTATAGTAAAAAAATTAGAAATAACTTTGTGTGAGAGCTTTTAACAATAATAAAATTGAAATTGAAAACTCAAATTAGTGAAATAAACGAAAAAAAAGTTAATAAAAATTTATGTCTATTTGGCCTTTTCACAAGTGCAATTATTCCCTTTTTAATGTGTTGGTTGCACTTTTTTTTTTTTTTTGGGTGATGAAAGATACTTATTTGCATTCATTCCTTCTTGACATGCATTTTTTTTTTACCTCTTTCCTAATTATGCATTGTTATCATCTCAGAACGTTACAATTTCAATGTTAAAGCGTATACTTCAGTTCTTTGGTTGGGTGTGAATTCCTCAACTAATCGCTCAATCCTTCCTAACGACAAACATAAATAAGCCCATTTCTCTTGCATAGGCCCATTGAGAACACTACTGACCCATGAAACGGGACAAACATGTCAATGAAGCCTTGTTTAGGGCCCATGTTTTGTTATGTTTCATAGGACAATATCCAGCATAACTATGCCTTTTTCTGCCCCATCAAATAGCGAACTCGGGGGTGAACAAACACTTGAGAAAAATGTCACATGTCCATGCTTTGGATTAGTTTATTCTATGAGAAAAGTTCTTACAAAGATTTTCATGCAACCATATTTCGAATACCAAATATATACTTATTAGGCGTTTGATATGCAACGATACGAGGTATGTGAATAATGCAGATTCTCACATTTGGTGCATTTGTTACTCTTTTTCTCACTCGAAAATTTTGGGACAATTCGAAACTCACACAAACATGGTTATTCAATTAATGGAAAAACAATAAAACACTAAGGATGAGTTTGTGTCATGCGTTCTTCATGGGTTCAATCCTTAGTTTTAATTCTGTTATAATGTTTTTTTTTAATAAAAAATTTAAATTTTAAAAGTCGTAATAAAATTATTAACTTAAATCCTGCTTTGAACCCATGACCAAACGGCCGTAATAAACACTCTCCTCCGTTATGCAAGCAAGATCTAACCCTCATATTTGGTTTAAGCTTAAATTTTCCTTCGGGTTTAAATTCAATGAAGGTATTCTTATTTTATAATTTTACATTTTTTTGAAAATATTTGAAGAAAAAAAGGTTGTCAAGATTATAATTTCTGTTAATAGAAAAGGGATGATCATTATCTAATATAATAAGATCTAATTAGTCTCAAAATAATTATAAAATGACAGTCTTTAATACTCAAAGTTATTGTTTTCATACACAATCAAACACAACTATAGTAAAATGATATTTACGAGAATTTTGGAGAAGATTCATGTATGCAAAGAAATGTATATTTCCTCAAAATCATATTATTTTTTTTTACCACTTTCTTAATAATATGATTCCAATAATTACCGCATATGCATGAGTTTCCACAATCATTGATGCATGGTATTCGTATTTAGTAATCCACAGAAATCACTCCATGCCCCGGAATGACATAAATCTTCTACCCAAACTGAAGGGCTTGATGCTTGCCGGAGCTCTAGTTTCTCTTTTACGTATTTCAACATGCACAAATGGTCATAGCAGCTGCTTTTTTTTTTTTTTTTTGGGGTAAAGGTTGAAGCTTAAAACTGTTTGTTTTGGCACACAGAACTTGAGATTTTACGGATTCCACAACAAAGCTAAAGAATAAAAAGAAAAAGCGAAGCAACAGAAAAAGGAAACACAATAAGAGACGAAAAAATAATGAGAGAAAGAACTATGAATATCTCAATACAAAACAACTCCCCCTCCGATAGTCACAAATACAAAAGCTCCCCTCAAAAACCTCCAAAGAATGCAACCGAATGGGTAGTGAACTGGAAGTCCCATATACAGACATGGGCTAAAACTGGCAACCAATAATAATAATAATAATATATATATAATGAGGACAAAAATAAAATAACAAACAGCAAGTACGAAAGAGGAAAGAAAAAGGCAAAGAGAGAGATCTCCCAATCTACAGCATCAAAAAGAGGAGAGCATATCCAAGGCACAAGCTCCCAATCATCTTCCCCATGGACAACACCTTCTCTGCTCCACTCTGAAAAGAGATTTTCCATGAAAACATACTCCTTAAAAACTTTTATTACAGTTCACACCCCCCACAAATGGAATGAAAATGTACATATAGTGATGTTTAGAACGTTTCTGTATATTTAGAAAAAGTTCTGGGGCCTAAAATTGTATTTCTGCCTCATTATCTTGTGCATATTTAAACACTTGGGGCCCAGAATTATTGTCAAACTAGCTTAGTGCATAATGCTCATGGAAAAACATAGTGATAACTAACAGGGAAATTATGACACGGGTAAAAGAAAAATGTCTTCAATGACTCTTTAGAATGACCGATCCTCAAGAGTATCGTATCATTGCACTTAATTTATGCAACAACTTCTTTAAAAAAGTTTAATATTAATGTGAAAGAGATAAAAGTTTTGATATATGTAAATCATATTAAATAAATGTTATGTTTCACCTTAATATATAATTTATATAATATTATTATGCAACAGACTTCATTCTTTGTTTATATACTCCCTTAATCAGATCACATCGTAATTGGAACTAAAAAAAAAGTAAATGACTAAAACGAAACTTAATAAAATTCTTTTTAAAAAGAAAAAGTAATCTATAATATGGTCATAGGAATTTGTTTTTAATCGTTAAATCTGTATTAAATTTTATATTATTTTTTTATAATTTTTCCATTTTAATTGATTTTGACCGGATCTAATGTTAAGTACGTACACCGTTGTAAGGTACTCTGGTGAAAAACATTATCTTAAAGAAAAAAACTCCAAATTATTAAATATTAAGGAACTATTACAAGAATAACTTACACCACCATAGAAAATGTTATTTTAAGTTTTCAATTAATTTTTTAATGATCTCATTTGTAAGTGTTTATATTAATTGCGCAACGCAAAATGCTGCTACTCACAAATTCAAGAGTTAAAATAAGGCTTCGTTCATTTTACCAATTTAAGTTTTTAATTATAATACCTCGTTTACTTTACGGATTTGAATTTTCAATTTAAGCTGAGACGTGACATTTTCTGAGATCTTTGCATATTTATACACTTGGGGCCCAGAATTATTGTAAAACTAGCTTAGTGCATAATGCTCATGGAAAAAAATAGTGATAACTAACGGGGAAATTATATGACACGGGTAAAAGAAAAATGTCTTCAATGACTCTTTAGAATGACCGATCCTCAAGAGTATCGTATCATTGCACTTAATTTATGCAACAACAACTTTAAAAAAGTTTAATATTAATGTGAAAGAGATAAAAGTTTTGATATATATAAAAAATATAAAATAAATGTTATGTTTCACCTTAATGTATAATTTATATAATATTATTATGCAACAGACTTCATTCTTTGTTTATACACTCTCTTAATCAGATCACATCGTAATTGGAACTAAAAAAAAAGTAAATGACTAAAACGAAACTTAATAAAATTCTTTTTAAAAAGAAAAAGTAATCTATAATATGGTCATAGGAATTTGTTTTTAATCATTAAACATGTATTAAATTTTATATTATTTTTTTATAATTTTTCCATTTTGATTGATTTTGACCGGATCTAATGTTAAGTACGTACACCGTTGTAAGGTACTCTGGTGAACAACATTTTCTTAAAGAAAAAAACTCCAAATTATTAAATATTAAGGAACTATTACAAGAATAACGTACACTACCATAGAAAATGTTGTTTTAAGTTTTCAATTAATTTTTTAATGATCTCATTTGTAAGTGTTTATATTAATTGCGCAACGCAAAATGCTCCTACTCACAAATTCAAGAGTTAAAATAAGGCTTCGTTCATTTTACTAATTTAAGTTTTTAATTATAATACCTCGTTTACTTTACGGATTTGAATTTTCAATTTAAGCTGAGACGTGACATTTTCTGAGATCTTTTCACTGTAGCAGAAAAAGTTAGATGTGACATTTTTTGAGAGTTTTTTACTGTAAAAATTTAAAACTGAAAACTCGAATCGGTGAAATGAACGAGACATAAGTTTCTACAGTAAAAAGTTCTTAAAAAATATCACATTTAAATTTTTCTGATACAATAAAAAACTTTAAAAAAATATCACATCAACTCAAATTAAAAACTTAAATCTGCAAAATAAACGATATCCTGATACTCCTAACAGTCCTACCATTACAGTTTCTTAAATATTGTTGGTCAATGCTTGACATTTCTCTCTTTATTATCTGACCGTACACCTACGGGACTATTTGGCTAGCCTACTATATCTTAAACCCAGTTGTAGAGTACGTTGTGTGACTTGTGTCTATCCATGCCTCGGTTCTGATCACTGGCACGTCTACATCCAAATGTACCATAAACCAACCCATTTTTTAAATCTACGTGTACAGTGAAAACGAGTGTACGATCGGAGATGCTGATAAAAAAGACTCTTGATCATATTCAACACTTGGCCCTACCAGATTCGCTACAACATGTACGGACTCTAAAAATGTACAAAAAGCTCGTACAGGTAACAGATCGTACTAGCTAGTTCCAATCAGATCCACCCATCACACGTCCCTCAAAGCTCACGTGAACCCGAACACATTCGATCCAAAACCAGTTTAGTTACTCTAGTAGTAAAGGGCTCGAAATACCAAAACGACAACAGTAAGCAGATCAAGAAAGAAACCACAGACAACCCCAGGCCCACGATAGCACACCTACTGCACTCCCACTAAATTACGCCGTTTTGGTCCCATGAACAACGAAAACAAAAAAATGTCTTCAAACTGTCTTTTTCAGCTGGTACTAAACTAAAGTTCGTATAAACCCAAAATGGTATTACTTGCATTGATCTGTTCGGCTCGTGTAAAATAACGTGTTCATTAAAAAATACAACAAAAAACAGATTACCTGATCCTGAGATGGAGAGGTAGCGCCGAAGCTCGGCCCAGGAGCCTCGGTCGGCGGAGCGGGTGGGCTGAGGGATGGACCGAGGGCCACAGGCGACGGCGCCGGAGCCTTCCCCTTCTTCTTGCTGGGAGCGGGAGCTGGCACAGCTGCCGGTGGGGAGGCGACAGGAGCAGGCGGCGAAACAGCCGGAGGAGTGGCGGGCGGAGGAGTGGCCGGAGGAGGAGTGGCGGGTGGTGGAGTGGCGAGAGGAGGAGTGGCGGGAGGAGGAGTGGCCGGCGGTGGAGAGGCTGGCGGAGGAGTGGCTGGTGGAGGAGTGGTGGGAGGGGGAGTGGCGGGTGGCGGAGTGGCCGGTGGAGGAGTGGCGGGTGGGGGAGTGGCCGGTGGTGGAGTGGCGACGGGCGGAGGAGACTGGACGGCGGGAGGCGGAGATGAGGCCGGTGGGGGTGCGGCGGGAGCGGGCGGGGGGTGGGGGGGGGCG